CAACCCCTTTTTTTTTCAATTGCACCAATTAAAAAACTAGAATACACGCTGTGTAACAAGAGTATTTTGATTATATAGGCTCTTTCTATATTTGTCTAATAGCTGCACAAGCAAGAAAAATCATATAGGAGAAAGACTTATGATCCAAATGAAATACTGTGTTTTGAACTCTTGTTATTTCATTTCTATATTGTCTTAGGGTTTATAACAAGGATGCTTTTATGGGGGAGGGCATTTTTAATGTGTAATCATTTTATCAAGCTATGAAGATTTAAAACAAAATTGTTTAAATTCCATTTTTTGTGCTATGGTCTATGATAGAAGGCCCAATATTAATAAACTAACCTAGTTTCTTTTTCACAATGTAAGTGAAAAATACTTTATTACCCTCTTAACATTGTCTGTGCCACGCTATAGTTATACTTTGCACACGTATTTTTTTAAGTTTCCCATTGTACTGAGAAACTATGCATTGCCACTGCATTCATAAAGAAAAGGTCTGTGTATTCACTATATTAAGCACAGTATGAAAGCTTGTCCCTTGTGCTCAAAATGTAAATTGGACATAGCTAATTGGATCCACTGCGGGTGGTCAGGTTCAGTGAGTGCAGGTTTCTGGAGGGAAGTGTGCCTACGCTTGTCTTCATTCTTAGACAGGAATGAAGCTGTGAGTCCTTAGCTGTGAGTCCTCCTCCAGATGTGTGTTGCTGTTGGCAGGCTTGTATTCATTGCCGGTATTTCTTAAGAGAAACAAAAACATTATACTCTAAGTGTGCGTGCAAGCCTCAAAGTATTCTTTTGTGTTGGACTCAACACCCACCATCGTGATTTTATGAAAAACAGTGTTGTTGAAAACTGTTTACAAAACCCTCTGCTTCCAGTAAAAGTTCTAGTAGACTTGTATGCTATCAGTAGACTCTTTCAGTCTTGGGAGATGTAAAGGGCATAACTCCGAGAGCGGCTGCAGTTCTGTGGTCAGCAGCTGCAGCTGCCGAGGTAGTGAAGAGGAAGGCGCATAAAAGGATGTGGTGCTGTTACTGAAAATACAGAGCCATTTGTGGATGCGTTGTGGGTGCAGTCATGGGAAATGCACAGGGTATAACTCAGTAGGCATCTGGTGATGATGAACTACTGGGGAGGAATAAATGATTGGCTTCACAGAAGAGGCTGTTTTGGTTAGATGTGGGGCTGTTGTTTCTGTGCCAAAAACATGAATACTGTTGCCGTTTTTGTGGAAAAGTGAAATGGCTGATGATGCCTTAGGAGAAATGATCAACTAGTTTTACAGATCGTGCTTCTGCGTTGACCGGTTTATGATGTACAGCAGCCTTAGGAAAATGTTTAGGGGAAAAAACAGACTGCATTGCAATATAAATACTGTTAAAAAAGCAGTAGCCACAAAAAGTATCTTGTAAAGCCAGTTAGGTCTTATTTGGTTTGTAATAGTCACAATCCAGTGGAGAGTAGCCTTTGGATTGCACGTGTCCACCCTGGGGGAGAGGGCACCAACAAAAGATAGCTTTACCGTTGAGCACTGAACATAAAACAATAGTAACTGTTTAAGTAGCTTTTACAATGCTTTTCTGCTCTCTGAGCACTATGCCCATTTCTCAGAGCTATTTAGGGATTGTAAAGGATATTAGTCAACAAGGAATAAACAGAAATAATCTCGAGCCTAGTAGAAATGTGGTGATATGGAGAAGAATGAGAGTTTGCCATATGGATGGTGATGGAATTCGTAAGGAACTGATTTTTGTTTTCAGAGTCTACTGAGACTGCTGCTTATGCTGCTATTATTTCTCCAAAGTTAGTGCGTAGCCACTTCTTGGCCACCAAGAAAATGCTACGGCAAAAGATGGAAGAAGAATTTGTCTGCATTTGCTGTATAATATATGTTATGCAACACCACTGGTTCTAGGATTTGTCGTTTCAGATTAAAGCAGTTTTATATTGAAAATATGGGGATTCACTAAAGAATAAACTACAATTCCCATGCAACACGGTGCCAGATAACTTCTCAAATTTCACTTGGCAGGAAAGGAGCTTTTATAAGAACTTGGCTCACAGAAGCAGTGAGGCTGGCAAGGATGAGATATTAAAAATTGTGTTATTGCTAAGGATTAGAGAAAGTTTTTGTATTTTCTTGCGTCTTAACCAGGAACATGAGTATAAATGAAGAAAGTGTAGTATCACACTGAACACACAAGCAGCACTGAGTTAAAAGAATGTATTCTCCTCGGCTCCTTTTCAAGAGGAGATTTCATGCTCAATTGAATGTTAGAAACAGATTATCTAGAAACATGCATCACGTTTTGCTTTATGTGTCTGCATTTGTTTTCCTTCCTTAATAGCAGAGTATTAAAGCTGTTTTTTGGTAAACAAAGGCTTTTGCTCCAGCCGTAACCCACCTCTTCATCTGTTTTGTGCAAATTTTAGCAGTTAAAGGTTTTTATGAAAAGCTTCATCTTTGGTTATAGTGGTGATAGCATTAGAAACGGAGAATTATGAGCAGAAAACTATTGGAAAAGTTTAGGATTCATAGTTTGTTTTAATGCTATATAGTAATATTCAGGGTTCCCCCCTTTTATTCGTTTTGCAACTTTTTCTGGTAAATTTAACCACATTCTAAGAATGTGCCATTTCACTGAACTTTGGATTGTTCGCCATCTATTTCAGTACAATGTTTGCATTGTACAGTGCCGCAACTGTACACTGGAAGCTGAGGGAGACAAAAAATACCCTTATTCTTACACTAAATGCATCTTCCTACGTTGGTGAATGCCCAGTATCTGAACGGAGGAAGAAATGCTTTTTCAAGTGCCAAGTGCAAGAAGAGGGAGAAGAAGGATGAAAGGGTAAAGAGATATACCTGCAGGGTGTATAACTGCAGGGTGTAAATACCTGATTGAACCCGCTTTGATGGCAAGTTTATGGGTACATGCGCCTAGAGGGAAAGACAAGTTTCTAATGACTGAGAGCACAGGTGGATGGGAAGATGAAATGTCTCAGGATGAGGGAGATAATTAGGAAATGGACTGCGTAAAGGAGCCCTACATCTCAGTGTTTTCATATGCATGGTCTGTTCAGGTGTGTTTGCTTTTAGGGGAAGAGGCGTGGTGGTGTCTTCATCTCAGACCACATGCGATCCTGGGTTGCGGAGGCTCAGTCTATGTCAGAAAAGCTACAGAACCGCTGGCGGGGACTACAACTTCGACCCAAACGATGATATTCGCGACCACTTGTACTCCACGTAGAAGGCCATGTGTGTGCCACACCACAACTTCAGCGCTGGGGAGGCCACATCTGGATCCTGTGTCCAGCTGTGGGCCCCCACCACAGAAAGGATGTGGACACACTGGAGAGATAACACAATGGAAATGGTTGGGGACTGGGGGACAGGACTGGTGAGGAGCGGCTGAGGGAGATGGGCTGATTGAGTCTGCAGAAGGGAAGACGGAGGGGGATTGAATGGCAGCCTTCACCTCCCTGTAGGTGGCTGCAAAGAGGATGGAGCTGGGCTGGTCTCAGTGGGGGCAGATGACAGAAGGAGCAATGGGCTCACGCTGCAGCAAGGGTTGGATATGAGGAAAAACTCTCCCTAGGAGGGTGGTGAAGCACTGGAACGGGTCACCCAGAGAGGTGCTGCAGCCTCCATCCTTGGAGGTGTTTAAGCCCCAGGTAGACCAAGCCTTGTCTGGGATGATGCCGTAGGGGCTGGTCCTGCTTGGAGCAGGGGCTGGACTCGATGTGACCCCCTCAGCGCCCTCCCAACCCTCCATGTCTGTGGCTATATGAATCCTGCGGGCCTCGCCAAGGAGCCGCTCCTAGCTATCCCACACAGGGCAAGGCACGATGCTGAGGCATCCTTTGCCTAGAGCAGCCTCAGCGGCTCCATTAACCGACCGGTCCACAGCGATGCTGCTAGCCCGCGGAGGAACTGCAGCCCTCGGTGCCGCCTGCCCACGGCTCGTGGCGTCCGGCTCGAAGTCTGGGCTGTACTGAGGTACGTCACGGCCCGGGCTCAGACACCCCACGGACGCAGCCGCCGAGAGCGACCCGGGCTGCGCGCCCGCTACGCCCCGCACAAACCATGGGCCCTTGTGGGCACTGCTCGTACAACTGCTTGTACAAGGGGGGAACCCGAGGCACTAATACCATGATTATCGCACAAATGCGATGGTTGTTGCAAATATAATTGTTGTGCAAATATGACAATTGTTGCACAAATATGGTGCTTGCACAAATAGGACTACACAAATATGATTGTTGCACAAATACGATGATTATTGCACAAATATGGTTGTTGCCCAAATACGATGGTTGTTGCAAATGATTATTGCACGAATACCATGATTACTGCACAAATACGATGGTTGTTGCAAATATGATTGTTGCACAAATACCATGATTATCGCACAAATACGATGGTTGTTGCCCAAATGCGATGGTTGTTGCAAATATGATCGTTGCACAAATATGACAGTTGTTGCACAAATACGGTGATTGCACAAATACGATGATTATTGCTCATATATGGTTATTGCACTAATAGGACTACACAGATATGATTGTTGCACAAATATGATGATTATTGCGCACATATGGTTATTGCACAAATAGGGCTACGCAAAAACGATGATTGTTGCACAAATCTGAGAATTATTGCACACACAATTGTTGCACAAATATGATTCTTGAACAAATCTGGGAATTATAGCGCACATATGAGGATTGTTGCACAAACACGATAATTTTTGCACAGATATGATGATTATTTCACACACAGACACACACGTGCGCTATGAAGTGAGCCCGTGAGGTGACAGTTGGCGGGGGCGGGGCACCCCTCGCGCATGCGCGCGGACCAGCCGGCGCGAGCTGGGGGGAGGGGAACGCCTCTTCTCCCGCGGCGTGGACGTCATTAGAACGCGACGCTGACGTCATCCGGGCGCGACGCCGACCCTGCCGCCGGGTGACGCGACACGCTAGCGGCGTGAGTCTCCATTGTGCGGCCGTTGCGGGGGCGGGCGCGGGCGGGAGGCCGTGAGGGCCGGGCCGGGCCCTTTAGCTCCGCCTCGCTCGTGAGGGGGCTCGTCGTGCCGGAGGGCACTGACCGTGAGCACGGACACCGCGGGCACGGGGGCGGGAAAGTGACGAGGGGGCTGCGCCTGAAAGCTCGCTAAGAACTTTGTCATCCAACTGCTCAGTTAGTGTAACGAGAGAGATCGCGTCTCCCAAAGCACCTGGCCTGCCTGTGTCCTTGCACCAACACGGCTACAGCCGGAACCCAGCGCACGGCCGCGTGCGGCTACCGCGCAGTAAGGAGAGAAACAGTATGTGTGAGGACGCAGTGTTCATAAACATTAATTAATATGCACTAGCATGCAGCCCCAGTGCAGTAATAAGAGCAACAATATGTGATAGTAAGCACATGGTGTTAATAAACATTAATTAATATGCACTAGCATGCAGCACGTGCAATAATAAGAGCAACAATATGTGATAGTAAGCACATGGTGTTAATAAACATTAATTAATATGCACTAGCATGCAGCACGTGCAATAATAAGAGCAACAATATGTGATAGTAAGCACTTGGTGTTAGTAACCATAATTAATATGCACTAGCATGCAGCACGTGCAATAATAAGAGCAACAATATGTGATCATAAGTACGCGGTGTTAATAAACAATTAATATGCACTAGCATGCAGCCCCGGTGTAATAATAAGAGGAACAATATGCAATAGTAAGCGCTTGGTGTTAATAAATGTTAATTAATATGCACTAGCATGCAGTCCTGGTGTAGTAATAAGAGAAACAATACGTGATAGTCCGTGGCAAGCATGCAGTGTTAATAAACATTCATTAATATGCAATAGCATGCAGCATATGCAATAACAGGAGAAGCTGTACACGATAGTATGCAGCAAATATGCCATGTTAATAGAAATAATGACATCAGCAACAGGAATAATAATCTCTCTGAAGCTCTGTTTAGGATCTCGGGATTTGCCGGTCTTAGAAGCAAAAGCACACCCAACTTTGACGCGCTGCCTAGAAACCAGAGGGTCCTCTTCCTCATACAAAGGTGGAAAATAAAAGGTGGGTGTAAAATAATGCTTTTTTTGCCCCTTGAGAGCACACGGTTGGCCTTGGCTCACGTAGGAAACTCAACAGCATTCCTTCATAAAAATTGTGAAGAATTCAACTGCCCGAAGTCTGAGCAGTGTAGATTGAGTGACAGCTCACACATGCAGGCAGCAGTACTAGTACAGAGCTCACGCTGCTGCCGCCCTGCACTGCTGCTGCTCTGCATGTGGCCACTGCCACCCTCAGCACCCCGCCCCTGCTGCTCCCTGTGCAGCTGCTGCCACCTCCCCCCACCCCTCCTTCCGAAAAAGGTTGAAAACCCCCCGCCTCAGATAACCAGAATTTTTAGATACCTGGCACCCTCCTTACCCCACTCATGTTGGTTAACACAGCTTGTGCTGTATGTACATGTTTACACAACAGGGATGTGCGTCTGGAGTACAAATTCCTATTTGTATAAATTCTTATCCTTTATGAATTATTTTCAATCTGTTTAGGTAAGAGACAGAGTAGGGTGGCACGTTAGGATGGAAACAGATATCTTTTTTGTGCTGCCATCATATTTTTTTCACGGCAACGCAAATTGTGAACGAATAGACGTTGCTGCACTTTGTCATGGCATGTCAAAGGAGAATCAGTGGTGGTATGAAAGGTAATAATAGACTGTGCCTCTTTATTGTGGTTGATGTCTGTTAGCTCTGGCAGGAGAACACGGGTAGCCTGAGCTGCTCTCACTCTCCAGCCACCCTGGGCAGGCACTCTGGAGGCTTGCTGGCCTCTCAACCCCCAGAACCTCTACCTGGCTTTCCCCGCGTACAGAGAGGCAACCTGGGGAATTTTGGGGCCTGTCTCCTTAAGTGGAGTTACCTGCTCAGCCAGACCGATCCCCCACAATTGCAGGAGTGAGTCTGTCTGAGCGGGGAAAGCTGATCTTGGGGGAGTCTGGCTGAGAAAGTAGGGCTTTCCCCACTTAGCTATAGTTGCCTCCAGTGATCACGTTGCCCTTTGTCCCAGACCATCAAGGACAGGACAGGACAGGAGGTGATGTGTGTTTTGCCTAATGAATCAGTTCATCTCATCCGCTTTGTTTGGCAACATCTATTTCTGGCTGTAGAGGCTAACTTGTTAATTTTCTAATCCAATTAGGAAACTAATAAGGAAATCATAACGTAGAAAAATCAGTCACTGACAAAATATTACTTTGGCCATTTTGACCTTGTTTCTGTGATGGGATTAATTTAAATAACATAGTCAACCTCTATGTCTGGTGACATTCTGTTTAAAGTGATGGTACTGGGAAGAAAAGAGAGAGGCTTAGGTATAACGAACTCACGGCACAGTTAGTTTTATAGTGCATAATAAAATTGAAAACTTTACATTGTAAGATTCTTAAGCAGGTACCTATAAAGTTCACTTGAAAGAATAATTACACACAATGTGTCTTACCTGTAGGCGGATTTCTTAGTAATTTATTTTCAAATATTTGATGTCAGAGATTCAAATAAGACATTCTGAAATATTATTTCTATGTGCTAGTTCTTGGCCACTTAATTTTAAATTGAATCATTGAAATGTCTAATGGAAAAATTGCATTAAGTACTTCACCTCTCTTCCCTAGAGCAAGATGTCTGCTATGTCCGACATAGCGTAGTTCCTTTGATTTCATAACCTGCTTTCATATTCCCCTCCAATACATTTTAAGATATTCAGAGTAGTTTTAAATCTTCTTTGAGTGACAGTTGAGCAGTATTCCTATCTTTAAAAGTTCCATTCTGTGCGCTGAAAAGAAATTCCACATACGCATGACTTTTTTCATTTGAAGGGTAGGCTTGGAGTGCTCATAAAGGCTGAATTTAGTTCACTTGTCAATTCTGCCACTTTCTGTGAAATCTTTAGTTGTTGCTGCTTTCAGCTTGAGTATTTTTTTTTCCTGGGGAGATCAGTTGGTATTGTTTAGACAGATCTATCCCATTGGATGTTGTTAATTTCAGTCAGTGCTACCACGTACATTTCAGTGCGTGGGAGTTTTGAAGTAAAGTGTAATTGAGTCCCTTCACAAACTGTATTTAAACCATGGTGTTTATAATAATACTATTTTTAATTGAGCAAACCCCAGGCAATAAAGGTAAAACAACACTGGACAATGGAAGTCATGTACTAACTAAGCAAGTTATTCGCCCGCTCTGCTCGGCATTGGCGAGGCCGCAGCTCGAGTACTGCGTCTAGTTCTGGGTGCTGCACTTCGAGAAGCATGTGGAGAAGCTTGAGAGAGTCCAGAGAAGAGCCACTCGTATGATTAGAGGTCTGAAGAGCAAGCCATATATGAGGAAAGGCTGACAGATGTGGGACTGTTCAGCATAGAAAAGAGAAGACTTTGGGGGGAGTTGGTGGCAGCTTACAGATATATCAAGGGCTAGGCGAACAACTATTCACCAAAGCACCCCAGGGGAAAACCAGGAGCAACGACCATAAACTTTTAGAAGGAGGTTTCAGACTGAATATAAAGAAAAACTTCTATATGGTTTGTGGGACCAGACTCTGGAATAGACTCCCAGCGGGGCATCAACCCTGGAGATCTTCAGAAGGGGAATGGCTGAACACCTTGCTGGGGTTATTTGACCCCAGCAGTCTTTCCTGCCCAGAGCAGGGTGGCTGGACCCAGTGATCTCACGAGGTCCCTTCCAGCCCTAAACTTCTGTGAATCTGTGTAAGTAGATGTGGTTTTAAGGGGACCGTTATTTCAGTTGTAGGGGGAGCCAGACGTAGGCTTTTCCAATGTTTTGGACATTACTACTTAATGCAGAAGTATAGAAATGAGCAGGTAACTTCTAACTTTTATGTTAGGATTACTTTCATAATTCCCAATACATATAAAAAGAATGTGTGCCTAAATCTGTGGTAAAGAGAATTTCTTTTATAATCCCTGGATTTGGACAAACATCTGCTTTAAAAGGAGAGGGGAAGCTGCTGCTATGTCACAATATAACAGATGATGTGCTCCTGTTAGGTCTGCCTGATTCTGTTAAATTGCCCTACTTTTAACCCTGAAGGAAGCAGAGTTAAAGTTGCTGTGGTTTTGCTACACTTGCATCTTTACAGAATAATAGGTAATTCAGTAGTTACATCCTCTCCCTTCATATATGTATCCTTTGATACTGGTACCATTGTTATACCTGTCTATAACCCCTGGAAAGTATGATTGTAGTCTCCAGTGATTTTGTTAATGGAACGGCTAATACTGTTTTTACATGCTTATTCTTCCTTTCATGTTACTCAGGAAATGAAAAGTCTACTTTAAATATTTAAAGTATTTGAATATGCAGAATAATGTTTATATTTAAATATGTTCCTGCTATACCCCATCCTTTTATTGACTTTACTGCATTAGCCCTTCGTTAGAATTATCATGCAGTTTTTCTAAGTGAAAATTGCAGAAAGCATAAATGACAGGGCAATATAACAATGACCTGGGTCAGCTAGCATAACTTCTTGCATAGAGCAGGATTATCTAGCCATCTCACATGTGATAACCCTGTGTGTATATGAAAGGATTTGTCTTTTTTGCAGCTGTATTGTATAATAAGCTCATGCCCTCTCTTACCCAGCTCTGTTTCTGCATTGCATTAGATAGATTTCCTCTCTTTTGGAAGTGAACTGGTAAGTCTTTCTCCTGCAATGGGTAGCTGTACATTCATTTAAACTTATTTTAAAACTGTCTCTTTCTCCAAACCTCGAAATATATAATTGTTTGGCTACTTGAACAGTAACTTGTGTTTTTTTATATTACAGTAGCATCAGGAGGCCCCAAATATATTGGTCCCCCTTGCATTTGGCACCTGCAAAAAGAGCTTATAGTCTATAAAGACAAGATAGAACAGGTGCATAAGAATGAGGTGACAGCTTAACAAAAAAAAGCAAAAAAAAAAGCAAGCATATTCTACATAAGCTAGCTATTGACATGATTAGTCTGTCTTTTAAATCAGTAGAATTTCCTGTGCCTTGGGCCAAATTTACCTGGCTGAAGTCAGTAGAAAAACTACTATATGCTTTATTAGAATGAGGACTTACCTCATAGAAGGGCTACAAAATCTAGCCTACCTGTGATGTGCTTATAGTTCCTTTTATTTTATGTCCTGAATACATTTATTTATTGGACCTGTCCAATAGTTCTCTCTCCAGCACCATTCTTTTTTCTTTTTCTAATTTAACGTGCCTTTTATTTATTACTTCTGTTTGCATTGTTCAGAACTTTTGTAGCCAGTTTTACATTACTCTCAACAGGGTGGCATACTTTTTATTTCATTATTAGTTTTCCAATTTCCAGGAGAGCCTGTATAATAATCTTGATTAAAGTCTTAATAAATTATGTTCTTTCTTGTCCTTTTCCAAACGTTCCTTGTAAAGAAGCATATCAGGTTGCTTTAGCATGCCATGTTCTTCATATGTCCCTGTTGTTTTTCACTTGCCATGTTCTGTGCGTGTGAGCATTACAATTTTAATCTAATATGAACTTTTTAAAAATAAAAAAAACCACTAAATCCAGACTTAGGTAATTTTGGGAGCAGGTTGCAATTACACATCTTTGCAGAATTGATGGCTGGTCCGGTATTTTAGAAATACATAGAATTCTGATGATCAGTGATAAATATGCAGTGTCAGAGTTTGGATCCTTTGAGTTTTCTTAATTAAGTTATTCAATAGTATTTTTAAATATTTTTTTGCAATTGCATACTAGCACAACCAGATACAGTTATATTGCATAACAAAACAGCTCTGCAGTGTTCAGCATTTTTGTTGTTAGGGACATAATAAATCATTACATTTATTTGAAGAAAACCTGATTCTAATAAACTCTGTATCATAGGATAGCTTTCTGGTTAGAGGGAGTTGAGTCTCGTCCCACCTGTGTCTAATATGCTGCCAGTTAGCTGATATTCTGATGGCAGGCTTCAGATGAGAGCTGGAGGCTTGGTCACCCTAAAAGCCCTTGAGCTCCTGGAAGGAGGATTGCT